GTGTGTGTGTGTGTGTGTGTGTGTGTGTGTGTGTGTGTGTGTGTGTGTGTGTAGTGTATGTGAACAAGTGTGTGCCTTGTGTGTCTGTGTGGTGTGTGTCCATGTCTGCGTGTGTGTGCACGTGTGTGTCCGTGTGTATGCAGATATGTGTCTGTGAGCACGTGTGTACCCGTCTGTGTCTGTGAGCACGTGTATGCCCGTGTCTGTGTGTGTCTGTGAGCACATGTGTGCCCATCTGTGTGTCCGTGTGTGTGTCTGTGAGCACGTGTGTGCCCGTGTCTGTGTATCTGTGTGTGTGTCTGTGAGCACGCATGTGTGTCTGTGAGCATGTGTGCCCGTGTCTGTGTGTGTGCCCGTGTCTGTGAGCACATGTGCCCGTGTCTGTGTGCACCCGTGTCTGTGAGCACGTGTGCTCGTGTCTGTGTGTGTGCCCGTGTCTGTGAGTATGTCTGTGAGCACGTGTGTGCCCACGTCTGTGTGTGAGCACATGTGCCCGTGTCTGTGTGCGCGCCCGTGTCTGTGTGCGAGTGTGTGTCTGTGTGTCCATGTGTGAGCACTCATGGTCTGTAGGGCCCTCTGCTCTCAGCCCACGGTTTCCCCACCTGGCCACGTGGTGATGGCTGCCCCAACCCTGATGTGACGGCCAGATGCACCCGGGGATGCCTGTGTAGACGGGCTCTCCTTCCCCGAGTCGCCGGAGGGCGGCATCTGTCCTAGACCCCAGGACAGGAGATGCCCCTGGTCCCTTGCATGACCTGCCCGTGGGCAGGTGGCAGCAGGATGCACGGCCAGGAGCACGGCCACCTACCCGCCCGCCGGCGCCCGGGGAGGCGTCGATCATGTCGATGGCGGCGGCGGCGGGGAGCACCTGTCCGTTGCAGACGGCGTGCGGCACGTACACGTGGCCCTCCACACAGCACTCCTTGAACTCCATGTTGTTCTCGGTGAGGGTGCCCGTCTTGTCCGTGAACACGTACTCCACCTGCAGACATGGCTCGGCTGGGAGCTGCTGCCCCTCGAGGGCCCTCGGACCCCCCAAGGCAGCCTCGTCCGAACGAAGCGATTTCCGAGGCTTTCACCCAACCGCGCTGCCTCCCCGGCCGGACGGTGAGCACACTGGCCGCCCCCCCGAAGCTCCGTGCATGCGAGCGTCCGGACCCAGCCTGGCTCTGGGGGCCGAGGGGGTACTCTCTACACTTTTTCTCCTTCCATCTCATGGAAAGACAGAGACGCGGTAGGGGTTGGGGGCTTGGTCCTGGATCCGACCTGACCAAAAAATCAAGGGTTCGGGTGGGATGAGCTTATCCCATAAGGCCTGGGAAGTCCAAGCCTGCAGCATCGTTTAAGGGTTGGAAGATGACAGAATTCAAACAAGTCAAGGGACAAAAATCTCTGATAGAAAACTGTGGCAAGTGTGAAAACTACACGGAGTTTTAAACCCTGGATCTCGATGAACTGAAAGAAGGTGGGGATCCCGGACCCTGTGGGCACCTCGTGAGCTGTGGGGAACACGGGTCCCCCCTGAGCTCCCGCCGCCGGCTATCAGAGACCCGCGGGCCCGGGAGGGGGTGGAGGGTCCCGGTGAGTCCCCGCTCCACCCATCTCGCTGGGCTCCCGCTCGGGGGCTCCCACCCACACGTTCCGTCCGCGGGACACGCTGCAGGGTAGGTACCTGTTACTACGCCCACTTTACAGGTCAAGAGCTGCCAGTGCAGAGCCCAGGCTGCGAGCCGTCAGCCTGGAGCAGGGCTTCAGTGGAGGGGTTCTGAACTCTTTACACCGGGAGACTGAAACTCAGGTCTCACTCTGCCCACCCTGACGATGATGACTGGGGCCGTGAGGACCGAGGAGATGGGACGGGACAGTCGAGGGCAGCCCCTGTGAGCAGGCTCGCTGCTAACTCTCCCTTGAAACCCAGGATCAGCACCACTTAGAAAGGCCACAATGAGCTTATGGCAGTGAGTTAATGTGATGAATCTGCACAACTTGTAAACCCAGAGCACCCCGCACTGTCACGTAAAGTTAAAAAGCCACTTTGCCGCCCTCTTTCACTAGGTATAGGTTACATCTCTGTGCACGAGCTGAAATGGAAACGTTCCCATCTGACCATCCTGATGACCTGCCTGCGTGATAAGAATCACGCAGCTTCTAGAAACCTGGGGACATAAAAGAAAGCGGCCCAGTGGCCAGCCAGTGAGAGAAGACAATTCAGGAGACCTGACCTGTCCTAGCTCTTCGTTTAAATCCGAGGTGTTAACCAGAGGCCCTTCACCCGTTTCCTCGTCAAACATTTCTTCGTCCCAGGTGATGAAATAGGAGCCGAGGAACTTCTGCATCTCCACGGTGACGTACATGGACACGGGGATAATGTAGTTGAAGAGAACCATGAAGGCCAGGAAGTCCGTGAAGGCTCTGAGGAGCTAAGACAAGGCGTGTGACCCCCTGCCGCCCACCAGCATCACGACGGCTCAAAGTGTGATCCCCCTGCCGCCCGCCAGCATCACGACGGCTCAAACCTCAGTCAGTCAGGCACAGCTTAACAAGTGCTGTTTTTAAACCAAGTGCTTCAAACCCAAAGGTAAAGGCCACTGGGGCAGCGGGGGCCGTCGGCTTTGTCTCCTGCACCCGACTTTAGCGCCGTGGCAGGCCCGGGACAGGAGCTGCCCGACATCTGCGCTGCTGGGGGGTGGGGGGCGTGGGGGGGGTTGTGAGTCGCACTCAGAGACGGCGGGGAGCGGGGGTGGGTCTCCAGCTGAGAGCCCGCAGGACGCTGTATACTGTGATTATTGCAAGTTTCCCTCGAGAGTCTGATAAACGACCAAATTTAGGGGTCTGTACAAATGGTGTTTCTGTATAGTTCTATCCTTATTTCTGAGCCATTTGTCTCACGGGAGGCTGGACTGAACACAGGAAGGAAGTGGGGGCCAGGCTGGGATCTGCACACGGCCCTGCTCTGAGCTGAGCGGATCCAGGTCTGGATTCGCATGCTGCTCAGGTGGACGTAGTGGGCCCGGCCAGGAGACTGTACTGCTTTAAGTGAGGACATTTCGTCAAATTAACTCACTGGTTTGGGGGAAACATTTTTGATAAATGTGAGCAGCGGAGCCAAAATCCCCTAAAATGAAGCCGATTCCTGTTGTGATTCCCGTCGTCATCGAGATGCTCCTTTCATCCATCTATTACCTAACTAGGGACCGTGTATCTCACTAATAAGCAGCTACTCAGCCCCTCTTACAATACAGGTCACCGCGCTGAGCTTTAGGTGTTTAAGGTGTGTCCTTATGAATCTAGGATGGAAGCCCATATACCTTTTCAAACTTGACTATTCAAATACCCAAAGAAGGAGGCTCAACCAGTGTCTACAGCTGCAGAGCCGGGGGTGGGGGCAGGCAGCTGACACCTTCACTGTCAATGAGCCCGTCTACTACAAAGATTTCATCAACCTAGACCTCATCCGGTCTCCCCACGTTTCCATAGCGACAGCCTGCGGAGCCACTTTCCATACCAGGTTCCTCTGTCTTTCTGCCTCTGTCTTCTGGTTGTACCAGGGCTCATCTCGGAACGGCTCGCTCTGCCACACGCACTTCATGACGGTATTAATGAGCGCTTTGCTGATTAGGATGCAGAGGTACACGATGAGGAATACATTCATCGATCTGAAACACAAGACAGCGGTGGTGACTTAGCTCCCGCTCCCCGAGGAATCCTGAGCTGTGCGTCGCCTTTCTCACAAACGTCAGCATGAACATGTTGTGAACAGACAAGAACAGCACAACAACAGGTTTTAAAGGACCCCCCCACCTTGGGCTTCCCTGGTGGCGCAGTGGTTGAGAGTCCGCCTGCCGATGCAGGGGACGCGGGTTCGTGCCCCGGTCCGGGAAGATCCCACGTGCCGCAGAGCGGCTGGGCCCGTGAGCCATGGCTGCTGAGCCTGCA